TTATAGATTAAAATATAGATATACAACACCTTCCTTTTACTTTAACAACGTTTCTAATACTACACCTTCCTTTAACTTTAACAACGTTTCTACTACTACACCTTCCTTTAACTTTAACAACGTCTCTACTACTACACCTTCCTTTAACTTTAACAACGTTTCTAATACTACACCTTCCTTTTACTTTAACAACGTTTCTAATACTACACCTTCCTTTGAACTTTAACAACGTTTCTACTACTACACCTTCCTTTAACTTTAACAACGTTTCTAATACTACACCTTCCTTTAACTTTAACAACGTTTCATATACTACACCTTCCTTAAACTTTAACAACGTTTCTAATACTACACCTTCCTTTAACTTTAACGACGTTTCATATACTACACCTTCCTTTAACTTTAACGACGTTTCTAATTCTACACCTTCCTTTAACTTTAACAACGTTTCTACTACTACACCTTCCTTTAACTTTAACAACGTTTCAAATACTACACCTTCCTTTAACTTCAACAACGTTTCTACTACTACACCTTCCTTTTACTTTAACAACGTTTCTAATACTACACCTTCCTTTTACTTTAACAACGTTTCTACTACTACACCTTCCTTTAACTTTAACAACGTTTCTACTACTACACCTTCCTTTAACTTTAACAACGTTTCTAATACTACACCTTCCTTTTACTTTAACAACGTTTCTAATACTACACCTTCCTTTAACTTTAACAACGTTTCAAATACTACACCTTCCTTTAACTTTAACAACGTTTCTAATACTACACCTTCCTTTTACTTTAACAACGTTTCTAATACTACACCTACCTTTAACTTTAACAACGTTTCTACTACTACACATTCCTTTAACTTTAACAACGTTTCTACTACTACACCTTCCTTTAACTTTAACAACGTTTCTACTACTACACCTTCCTTTTACTTTAACAACGTTTCTAATACTACACCTACCTTTAACTTTAACAACGTTTCTACTACTACACCTTCCTTTAACTTTAACAACGTTTCTACTACTACACCTTCCTTTAACTTTAACAACGTCTCTACTACTACACCTTCCTTTTACTTTAACAACGTTTCTAATACTACACCTTCCTTTAACTTTATACTACTACACCTTCATTTAACTTTAACAACGTTTCAAATACTACACCTTCCTTTAACTTTAACAACGTTTCTAATACTACACCTTCCTTTAACTTTAACAACGTTTCTAATACTACACCTTCCTTTAACTTTAACAACGTTTCTACTACTACACCTTCCTTTTACTTTAACAACGTTTCTACTACTACACCTTCCTTTAACTTTAACAACGTTTCTAATACTACACCTTCCTTTAACTTTAACAACGTTTCTAATACTACACCTTCCTTTTACTTTAACAACGTTTCTAATACTACACCTTCCTTTAACTTTAACAACGTTTCAAATACTACACCTTCCTTTAACTTTAACAACGTTTCTAATACTACACCTTCCTTTAACTTTAACAACGTTTCTACTACTACACCTTCCTTTTAACTTTAACAACGTTTCAAATACTACACCTTCCTTTTACTTTAACAACGTTTCTAATACTACACCTTCCTTAAACTTTAACAACGTTTCTACTACTACACCTTCCTTTTACTTTAACAACGTTTCAAATACTACACCTTCCTTTAACTTTAACAACGTCTCTACTACTACACCTTCCTTTAACTTTAACAACGTTTCAATTCACATACAGGAATTTTTACCAAACATAATATTAGAAAAATAGAACAACAAGCAAAACACATATACAACTCAAAATATCGCTTGAAGATATATAAACAGCTGACTTAGTGAGAGCGGTAGATATATAAACAGCTGACTTAGTGAGAGCGGTAGATATTCTGAATTAACGACATGTCCGAAAAAGAGGGTGACCAAAAACAGAACCAGAAATTATAAATTACAAAATTGTTATACAATCCTACACAGTTCTAACAAATTTCGTGAAATTTGAATTTAAGCTTCGGACTTTGTACGATTTTATCTATTTAAGATAAGATTACGATGTCTGTTCTTTTTTTCTAATATTGTTCGTCACATTGAAGATAAATAAAAGAAAAGTAAGAATAGTAAGAAACGAAATTGTAACCAATTTTTTTAAACAAATAAACAAACAAACAAACTAATTTAAACCATACTGTGTGCGATCATACCGGGTTTCAAAATCCGACAGATTCACCAATACAGATTGTCTTGCGATATTGTAATATTCCTGCTATAAATGTTTGAGCACTGTATTGGTGCAAAAAAGTAGGACGTAAAGCTCCATTCATTTCATTTCATTTTTTGATACTGAATTTGACAAAGTGATATTATAATTGTTCTGACCGACACAATAGATCACCTCCTCATGTTTTATTAAAAATATCTATTGACTTATATCGTCTATGATGTTAAACAAGATATACCTTGCGGATTATTGAACGATACAGAAGTCTAATGAGCTCGGCAAGACTGTAGTAGTGCCAGAAACAAGCCGAGAAATATGTTTCCGATATATGTTTAAACAGTTAAAGGAAATCACGTCACCGGAGGCATTCAAGTCGAGAACCACTCAATAACGATGAGCGATCGCACCTAGGTAGTGAGATATCAGTCGTTTATGGAATAGTAACAGTTCCAATAGGTCTGCCTAGTGATTCGCTGGTTCTACAAGTTCACTGTTAACGTTACTTTTATCTGGATACAGTTTTTTATATATCTTTTTGACTTGTGAATGGTTATCCAGAATTCCAATTCTTAATGGATTATATATTTTATCTGATTATATTTAGTCGCTTTTTATAATATTTGAGGATTATAATTTGGCTAAATGACGCCTTACTATGCGGTGTATTCTTAATACGCTTGAGGTGTATACCATCTCGTGTTCCCGGAGTCATTGCAGTTGGTGCTTCCTAAAATGTCATCAAATGTGCAATATTTGACGTCTGTGGGTCATGTACAGAATATTTAAGTGGAATGGAACCGATGGTGGAGAATACGACCGAAATTTTGGCGAGAACTCTGTTCAATCGGACTGCTATTTATCTGCCCTCGGCCATCCCCGTGGGTATTATACTAGGTTCGATTGTGTTTATGACAGTAGGAGGGAATGTGCTGGTATTACTAGCTGTATTTGTGAATTCCCATCTACGGAGTACAACTAATTATTTTATTGTGAATTTAGCAATCGCTGACTTGCTATTGGGAACATGCGTCTTGCCGTTTTCCGCCAGTTTAGAAGTGCTCAATTTTTGGGCTTTTGGTCAGATATTCTGTGATATATGGGCAGCGATCGACGTTTTGTGCTGCACTGCATCCATTATGAGCCTGTGTGTAATAAGTATTGACAGATATATAGGAGTAACTCGACCATTGCAGCATTCCTCTATTCTAACGGAAAAACGGGCATTTTACATCATCATATTAATTTGGCTATTGTCTATTTCTATATCGGTGGCACCGTTAGTCGGGTGGAAGGAACCGCCGGACCCCGATCCTTTAATCTGCAGCGTAACCACTAATCTAGGGTACGTTTTATTCAGTGTAGCCGGTTCGTTTTACATCCCCTTGTTGATAATCATTGTTGTTTATATTCGTATTTATCGCGAAGCTGTGAAAAATTCCCGGTTTTTATCCACGGGGGTACGGACGTCAAAAATTGACGAATGTGAAGGGGTTCAGTTGAGGATACATATGGGTCGAACTTGTACCCAACCGGGTACCCCCAACCCCACTCAATATCAAAGTAGCTCTTCTAGTGAACATTCGGAAAGTTCAGGTCGTAAAGTGACTCACAGGATGACCCTGGCAGGAAAAGTCGCCAAATTTAAACGTGAAAAGAAAGCCGCTAAAACTCTGGGAATTGTGGTCGGTGTTTTTATATTGTGTTGGTTTCCATTCTTTTTTATTCTCCCTTTAGGTAAGTGCTGCATTTTCTTTTCATGCTCCGTTATTTTCTATCTCAAATTTCCAAATTATACAACATCATTATGACTTTTCGTTTTCTGCCCTTTCTTTTCTAATCTATATTATTACATTGCTTTATATAGTCAGATACGATTTCTGTGGTGGTATAAATGTAAGTCACACCAAACTTCCGTATTTCAACGTTTTACCTAGAAACACAGATGACTGTTCAAAAAGGGATCTGGTCGACTTGGTGAATTCAAATTGTTTCATGTTATCACAGTTGACATGAACAAAACGCTCATATAGAGATTAGGGTGATTGAAGAGTAACCAGTTACTATTCAATATAAGGCACTGGCACAGGCTTAAAGTTATGTTTACAATAATTGTGATGCTCATATAGAGAAATTGATAATTAACCATTCACGAAATGTTCACTGATGCCGACCACTCGGGTCCAATATTCATTACGACACAAGTAACAGTTACTGCAGTATCATGTGCGACCAGGTCTACTAATTCTAACAATGCAAAATTGATTTAAAATGTTACTACAAATTAATTAAGAAACAGTGCTGTCTCTCTAGAATTGTAAATAGTTTATATATTATAATATTATTTTATTTCCTACAAAATACAATGTTATAAATATAATATACAATAATTAACAAGCCTCTCAATTATTTCATTTAAATAAGATTATTCTCTACAATTTTATCTAATAATATTACTATATTAGACATTCCCAACTCTTAATCCTCTTCTGAAACAAACAAACTTCACATTATTATAGTTTGGTACTTGCTTGTAAGATTATTTTAATAAAATTGCTGTAATAAAGCTGTTTGGCTTCCAACGAATAAATTCCCTAATTTAAACGACAAATATGTATAGACTTGGTGATGTTTATAACATGCATAACGAGTATTGTTTAAATCGAAACGTCAATTCAAGACGAATATTCGCCGATAGAGACAAATAGTTGGCGCCTTATGTTCTACATTTCTTCTTGTTACCGTGTGCAATGAAGGAAACTGTGACAGTTTTCAGAAACAACCAGGTGTCGTTGGATGTTTAATTGTGCTGTCAACCTCGATACTAAAAACATACAAGGGCTGGCAGAAAGTTCTAAGCCTTATAAATAATAAAATTAACATTTCAGTTCGGCGATTCATTAGGTATATTTGTTTATGATAAAAATTTGTCTCAATTCAGTTGGGATATCTTACTGAGGCTTAGAAAGTTTCATCCACCTTCTTATATTGAAACAGACAGCGTAGATCAAGAATTATAATAATTTGTGGTATGTAAACTATTATTGCCAGTTGACAAACTATAGGTGGTTATTATTGTCTGGTGTCCTGATGGAGATAGTCTATGGCTGCCATCGCTAATTATAACATGACTTTTATTTCTTCTACCCTGAAGGACCTGCTGTATTTTACTACTGCTGATGTTGAAAAGTAAATTGAATTATTTTCGTACGTCTCATTTCTTCTGCTACTGTTCTAGACTAATGAAGACAGACAGCACCATACAATACAGCATAAATCTTTTTCAGAATATCGACTTTGGCATACACCGGGATTCTATTTATTGACCCAATAGGAAAACGTGATAATACCCTATACTTAAGGTTCATTTCTTCAAGTTTTAAATCACGATTTGTTATTTGATGGCCACAAAAAACCACCAATAGTGTCTCAGCAATGCTATGACAACGCCAAACCCAATTTTTTTGTTTATATTATAATCTAGTAATTATATTGCTTACTATAGGAAGTTATGGTAAGGTTTTGTTTTTGTGACTGTTTCGTTGGCAAGTTTAATGGTATACTGTTTCTATTGGTTACATTGTGAAATATTGTACAAGTCGTATCACGCTCTCATATCTGAAACATTCGTGTATTGGTACTTGGCTTTAGGGTGTTATTAAGTCTCTTAACGTTTGTTTGTCAACTTGGTGGTATTTATTATATTATCTGATGATATATGACGACAACCTTTACATGAAGTCTTCTTTATGAATATCTTAAAGATGGGTTCCCTTAATTTCATTTATGAAAATGAAAATGCTAATACTTATATGAATAAAAAGTAGAGGTGTTCTTATGACTTGGAAAATACCAGTTTGTCTCACATGTCCATAATTAATACATAATTAGCTTAATTATTAGAGAATTACCAGCAAAATTCCAATGAGTGACCGATCAAGAAAGGTTAAAAAGTCTGTACATACATGGATATTAATGATTGGTTAAAACTTTTAATAAGAACATTATGAATTAAGAATACATAATAATTCATTAGATACACCAAATAATCAAATAGTTTTCTTAATTTGACACTAAGAAATAAGGAAACCCATCTTTTACAGCTTCATTGCACTAAACAGAAAACTTGCTGTCTACAGACGACTTACTGCTTGTCTAGTAAAACATAAACCAAGTAATAACGATCCGAACCGTAAAACGAAACCCAAATTAATCCAAAACAACATATTGACTGAACATATTTATATCAACGTAACATAATATATTATGGGGTGTCCGAGGATATGTTTTGTTCCAAGTATATAAACTTCAAGTAAGAGATTTACTGGTGTAGGTCTGTAAGACCTGTTCACGTTTATTTACCAGATTTTCTCCACTTTCTTTTCGTGGGTTGATCTCATTTGGGTTTTGAGTTTCTCTTGTTTTAAAAGGATGGTGGTAATTATCCTTACTTATTCTAATGTCACTTTCATCAATCTTCTTCTCTTTCTTCTCCAGATTTTAAAATAAAGAAGTAAAACTCCGCCTTTTTTAGTCCTCGAGAGATGACACCATGATGTTGTTAAAGATAAATTAATCCCACGCGGTTATTTTAAAATATATCTTCCACTTGACATTAAGATTCCTTACAAAATGTTTCTTGAAAAGTTTCAGTGGCATGTAAACTATCACCCAGACTTTATTTAGCTTTATTTAACTTCTTTTCTTGTTTGTTTTTTTCTTGTTTGTTTTTTTTCTGGTTTTTTTGTTTGTTTTTGTTGTTTTTTTTTTGGAAGGATGAAAGAAAATATCGTAACCTTCACATAATTGTTCTCAGTTTTTTTAAAGTACCAACAATAACAAATAAGCTCTTGTCGGTTTTTGGCAATCCTGTTTCCCCCTGTCAGTGATGCTAGTCGTTCGGATGGGACAATAAACCGAGGCCCCGTGTAATACAGGCGTGCACGTTAAAGATCCCTCGACAGTTGGAAATCGAAAAAGAGCAGGCTAATATCAGAATCCTGGCCACAATTTCCCTCATTAGCCCACGTGGTGCAGAAAAGTAGGACGTAAAACTCCATTCATTTCATTTTTTGTCATCATATGTCATTCAAATATCAGATGATGTAGTAAAGTTGATGCCAAGCCAAATCTACGTGTAGGGATAATTTGCTAATTGCCTTTTTTTTTTGTTTCCGATCAGGATATTGTGACATCATCAAAGTTGTTACTACGATTAGTAATAAAGTTAGGTTTTGATCGGTATTAATGTCAATGGAATAGTAATACTTCTATTTTATTAGGTAGTTTGTTCCTAAGCCTCTCTCATATAATAACATTACCCAATAATCATTATTTAGCGGACATCAGCTGTTCTGATGCAGAACCGGAAGTAAGCAGTATTGTTTAAAACTACTGTATCTATCCAGATTATACACAATCGGTTTACAAACACAATAATTAACGTTGACCTATAATTACAGATGTCTGATAATTTCCCGGGGATAATTCAAATCAAAACGCCCCCGATATTACAAATTCTTCAAATCTGACACTTAGACCTAAAATCAAGTTATATTTGAGTTTTCCATTTTAACCAGAATTATTTTATAAAAGTCAATTTTGACATAGATTGGAATAATTATACAGATACTATAGTCTGTTCACAAATTACTTCGCTATTTATTTCCCGTACATTTATATAGTCTGTAAAAATAAAATCCAAGGCCAAATTCTGTTTTAATAACAGTTTTGTAACAAACAGTTACAGATGTTACCCACAATGCCTTGCCTTTAACAAGCAACTTAACATTGGCTACTGGATAAATTATCAATTTGACTTTAGTTGTATATACTGCTTGAAATTCCTCCAGAACCTTACTGAATAGTCTGGTAGTATCGAATTGGTTTGTCAATTCGACATCTGTTGAGATATTTGAAAATGTAATATTGTTTATTTGATATATGTATGAAAGGGTATCTTAAGACAAGACAAACAGTTGGTGAAAGGTATTACAAGATATCTGAATACAGAACTGATATATTGTTATAAAACAGGTGTCGTCAAGATAATTAGAAACTAGTGTTTATTTGAATAGTGGTGATATATCAATAACTCATCAACACTACTTCAGTTTATTGGCATCACATTGACATAATTACAGTGAAATATTGTTAAAATAATGCTCAATACTTGGTTATAATAATTTATGTATTATGAATTTCAGATCCACTTAATGTACAGTAGTGAGTGTCGTTAGCCAGCCAGGGCAAGCTCAACCATTCAAAACACTTGATGCCACTCTGCCACTGTGGTTGTCAACTAGATATCTAGACGCCTTTCAGACGTCATAGTTAATATTGTTTTTGTTTATTCTTATAGATATTTCACACATTAGTTTTAGGGGTCGTATTTTGCCTTTGGAACAACTTTTAGCCGTTTTTGTCTGATGAAAAACTCACAGACTCTATTGGTTTTGCCTGTGTCATTTGACTATAGTTATTGCATATTGCTCTTGTCTGTGCCACCTGTCATTTGTACTTGTTGTACTTGTCTTTGGTACCTGTCTATCAGACTTGCCTACGGCATCTGTCTATCTGACTTATGGAGTTTTACGTCCTACTTTTTTGCACCATAAATAGCTGACTTATGTTACTTGTATATCGCTCTTATCCGTGGTACTTGTACTCCGTGACACTTGTAATACAATCGAGGCTAGTTTACTCTAATTTGCCCACTTCCTTGTTTTTAAATTAAT